CTGCCCATTTGAAAGTGTGAGCTTATTCCAATGTTTGTCTTGTAGATCAAGGAAGCAAAACCAACTCAAGCACCTTCTTTACCGATGTACAGTGTGCACTGCTTATCTACACAAGTTGCTGTCACCTTAAGAGAATAAAGTGCTGTGGCCTTCACTCAGGGATCTTAGCAACAGAAATGTAAATAGCATTGAGTATAAAACACAGCAACCTGTGCACTTACATCATTCTTATTAGAACCAGTGCTATCTGACTCTCAGCTTTGAAAGAAAACTGTCTACTTTCTGGATAGTTACCTACAAGTCAGTCAAATAAAGGTCGATGTAAAGTTAGGGAAAAATAAAACGAAGCCTGTGAAGGTGAAACCTGTATGTGTCAGCTGCTCATTTCAAATATTACTTCAATTATTTTTTATCACTAGTAGAAAGAACTCAATAGTAGGATTGAACCAATTCCACACAAATGGAGCCCACTTATACTCTGCTTTTTGCATGTATCTTTCTCTCCTCCCAAATACTCCAGAAATTTTCTGAAGAGTTCCAAATCCAGAAGGCTTTAGTGGCAGTTGTCAGTGCTGGGTTGCTTAATGATGGGCTTAGAAAAAGAAAAAAAATTATTTTAAAACTTGCAACACAGCTCAAACCAAAGTTATAGGCTGTTGCAGAAATTACTGGGTGAGGTTCTTTGGGCTAAGTCAAAATGAAGGTCTAACTAAACCATCATTTTTGGCTTTGTATCTATGCAACGGGTTTGCTAAATTTAAGATCTTAAAATGTTGATTAAATCCCTTTTAAAGTTCTAAAAACGTTCATTAGATGTTCCATTGATTTAAATGTTTTACTGGGATTTCTCAGGTTCAGACCCCACAGGATATGATAGGAAGCAAGAGGTTTGAGGTGGGGACATCTTTCTGCTGCAGCTGCAATACAAGAAAGGCTGACCCAAGCCACACCAAAAGTCCAGGTAACCTGGTGCCCTGCAGTTCCCTAGAGTGGAAATATAAGGATAGAGCAGTTACAGCTTAATTTCTCCTCCTATTTACCAGTTCAATCTCTGACTATCTAAGGATGGAATTGGAGGCCTTCACCATTTCTCTGCAAAGCAGCCTGTTTTTCTGCAAATTTGTCTAGGAACTTCTTGCAGCCCTAAGTATTTTTGGCATCTAAAAGATCTCATGATGATGAATTATCCAAATTAAGCAGATGTTGTTTAAATAGTACTTCCTTTTGCTTTTTTTACACTTCCATTTGAAAAAATATTATTAGATTCATCGTTGTTCTCATAAGAAATGAGTAATTGTTCCCTATTCACCTTTCCCATGTCAGACTTGATTTTTGGTACCTGTATTGCATCTGCCATTTCTCATCTATTTTCTAAGTAGTTCCAGAGTAATTAACCTGTCTTAGAAAGTAGTCTATCTTTCTGATCAATCTGGGCACTCTTTTTCCTGTTTTTTCATGTTTTTCCAATGCTTAAGATGCTACCACGTGTCAAAATGCTATAAGCAGAATTTTGTCTTGTATTAAAGGAAAGAACACGATTCCTGAAGATTTATACAGTAGCATTTTATTTTATTGTTGCTTTTTAATTCTCTTCTGTCCTTATCAGTCCAAACTGCCTCGCTGAGCACTGAGATAACAATTTCAGAAAACTTATCCATAGTGACTTCAAAATATCTTTGCTGACTGATATGAACTAATTAGAGCCTACTATGTTGCACAAGTAGATATTTTGTTGTTTTCCTTTCATTGGCATCTGATCGTTTCATTTTAGCTGGTATTTTATCACCTACTCCATCTTTATCATGATGTTTTTTTCTGTTGGCTACTTTGTGTCAGCCCTTTTGGTTTTGATTTTCCTAAATAATTGTGAATCCCTAGTAAACACTGTCCAATCCTGTTTCACTTACCACTTGTGAACATGTTGTAAAGCTCAGGTGCATTTGGAATCTCACTGGTTACTCCCTTTGTGATCATTTACCCATCCATCTTCCCTTTGAAGCAGTTACCAATCACAAAGAGAGCTTACCTCCTGGGCTTTTTAAAACTGTTTGGCGAAATCTTCGTATGTGATTGCTTCATCCAGGCTGCATGCTAAATGTTCTTCAATCATGTCCATAGCTTCTTTATGGATCAGACTGGGAAGATACTCCAAACATGTTCTGTCTCCCCTGGTGCCACACATTTGGATTTCCTTTCTGTGGCAATTAGACTGAGAGTAAAAGCAAACTGGGAGGAGGAGAGGAGGAAGAAGATAGCAGAAGCTGGTACAGACTTGGTCTTCTTCCAACAGGGAGTTGATTAAGGCTGAAGACTCCAGAGTCCCAGTATTTATACAAAGTCTACATAAGCCAGCTCCTCTTTATCAATATTTGTTGACTTTGCTGACATTTTTAAAGCACTACCAGGTTTGCAGTTTCCACTTCTTCTCATTATATGGTGATGAGCCATGTGTTAGACTGACTGGGTTGTCATTTCTGTTTTCTCTGAAGTCTTGTCTAAAAATTTCTATTCTTCCAGAACTGGGTTCACTCCAAACCATAAATTACAAAGCACAGTTAATAGTTTGGCGATTTCAGATCCAAGCTCCTTTTGAACCCTGGGGTGAAAAATACATTGTCCTGGCAGTCAGGTACTGTACAGTTTACTGACTGGCTCCAAAACCACAGACACCCAGTTTTTGCAAATATGTTTTTTCTGACCACGCCCCTAAAAAAGGTTTTGTTGTAGCAATCACCTCAAAATCTGACAAAAAGAACAGTGACAGGAAAAAAAGTACTTCATTTTCTCCCGTTTTCCCTGAATGCTTCTGTTACATCTCTGTTGCCTGCTAGTTCCTCACATTCTCTGGCAGATCTGTTCTTGATGTGTTTGGGGAAAAAAAATTATGCTTCAAAATATTTTTTTACCTGGTTTATTATGGTTTTGTTTTGCCAGTTTCTGCTATTTGCCAGCGTTTATGCTTCTTTTGGACAGAAGCAGAAAATAACAGTGTGTCCATGAGTGAATGCACAAGTGGACTTCACAAAATCATTGGGCTGTTTGCAGTGGGTATCTAGCAATTCAACCTTGTGGTACTTTGATGTGTATTAAAGGCAAAGAAGTTTGTCAAAGGCTGGCTGGAGAAAAAAAGGACTTGGTGGAACATGGTCCAGAAACTGTAAGTACTGATGTTTCCATTATCTTTTTGTTTCGGTGCATTTCTGAGCATTATCTATAACATATATTTATAAAATAAATACAGCCAGCCTCCAGACTGGATGATAACTGCAACAAGCTTATTACCACAAATTACTATTTTGCAGTATTCTAACAATTAGTACTGTGGAGCCCTATGGCACAGGTATTGCACAAACTTAAAAAGAAAGTGAGTCCTTGTCCCAAGCAGCAAAATTCTTCTGTCCCCATAGCTTAGGACACTGCTGAACACTCACGTTCAGTATTTATGTCCATACAATGCTCTATGGATATAGTAACAGTGATTCCAGAGCCATGCTCCAGCACAAACTTCTCTGCCATTAATGCTGAGCAGTGGCACTGCCCACGTGGGATTTGGCCAACTTTAAGGTTGTTCCTTGAGTAATGTGTGTATGTTTAAAAGGCTTTGCTGAATTAGGACCTTACTTTATAGAAAACCTATCTGCTAACAAACACGTTACGCTTGATCAAGCTTAGCGTTAAGATTAAGTGCCTTGTCTCCTGTTTTCACAGCTAAACTCCACCTGTGGTGAGAGTAATTTATCTTGAATTGCTTTAATGCAGTGTTTAAGTATGTCTTCTTGGCCACAAAGCAGTTTGCATGTATTTCAGTGAGAGGCTTACAATCCCATTCACATTTTTAATATACAGTTTTCTCACATAAATTAATCACAGCTTGGTTGGCAGGCCTTGCATGAGTAATAAGGTTGTTGGCACAAACACATACCATGGGTCTGTTAGGTAAAGGAGAAGCTTTTGTTTGCTTCTATATTTACACAAGAGGTTTAACTTGTACAAAACGGTTTAAGATAGAGGTGCTTTACTAGCAGGACACAACAGGCCGTGAGATAACATATCCTCCCCAAAATGCATCAACAGAGTACAGATAAATCCCCACACACTGCTTTGAAAATTAAACTCTTGCTATGCAAAATATTTTCACAAAATGCAGCTTCCATTGCTTATGTACACAGGCAGACAACAGCCAGAAACTTGCTGTTATATGAAAGAGCCATGCTCTTGAAAGAGAATTGAGCTGAATGCATTTTTTACATGAGAAAGGAATGTACTCTTTTGAGTAAATAATGACAAAATGACATTTCAGTTTGCTTTCTCTCTTTCATTCATAATTTTGGGAAGTGATTGCTCAGGGTTTATAACATGTAACTCAGAATTCTGCAAAGTAAGTTTTTTGCTGAATTCATCTGAGCAATATCTGCACTCCAACATTCTGCAGTGCAATTTTGCTCCATTGCTGTTGTAAGAGCATGAGCTGGAGAGCTCTGTTTCAATATCTGTTTAGTGCTCTTGCAATGAAGGCCTGACCTGAAGTACTCTGCACATGGTGGGAATCTTCCACTGCCTTGATTTAGGGCTTTCAATTAAGTCTTCTTTAAACAAGAAAATTCCCAAAAGACAATGCATTGCAAGGAATTAACATTGGAATGCACATATAATATCTGTATGTGTCACTAATTTTGTGTTAGATCAGCAAAACAAATCCCTTTGTAACACTGCAAGGTTGCATTTGCCAAAATGATGTTGTGTAGCTCCACTGTCACCACATGGAGTGCTTTGGGTTGCTCCTCCATCACACACTCTGTTGAAAGCAATGTATTAATTATTGCTCTTCTCAGATGGAACATAACTGTATGTCTGACACAAACCATGCACGAGAAAGTGATATGAAAATGTGAGAGGCAGAATTGGAATCTCAAATGCAAATTGATTGAAATGCACATGTGCAATTTGTGCCTAAATTTGACATGAACTGAAAAAAATTTATCAGGAAATCAAGACAACTCTGCAGCCAAGGATGCCTTTAATGCACAGAGGAACATATGCCCTGCTCGAGAGGCTGGCAGCAGCTCACAAATGCAGGATACAGTTGCTGGATGTCTCTGCTTGCACTACAATCAGTCTGTCAGTGTAACTACAGAGATGTTCAGGAAGAGCTGCAGGAACAGGAATGCAACAAAGAATGGCATTACTGATGCTGTGTGTATTATTTTGGGGCTTTATGAAATCATCAGTCTAGGAAGTGTTCAATCCAGGGGAATCATTCACATTTTCAAGCTTTTAGACTTTTGTTAATAAAATGTAAATCTCAGCAATTTATAACTGTTTTCTATTCATTATCATTAAGAAGTCTATTATTTAAAAGTGCTCCAGAGATGGTGATCTGAAATTTCTGCTTGACTGCTTTCCCCAAATTCGGTCTTCTCACCCCTGATTCAACTTGTTCCTGAAAGAAGTTGTGTGGAGTATCCTGCATATCCTAATACTCTAGGGAAATGGGAAAGGTTACAAGTCCTTGGATTATTTAGCCCATTAACATGGAGGGGGTATGACTGCTTTATTAAGAGTAATTGAGGGAAAACACTGCTAAGAGGGAAGGGCTATTTAAGCAAAAGAACAAAACTGGCACAAGAACAATTTAGGCTGGAAATGTATGTAAGGTTTGCAAACATCAAACGAATAAGATTTTAGAAAGCTTCCTAATTAGAAGAGAACATGCAAACTCCTTCAGTATTACTCCACATCTTGCTATGGTTAGAAATTTAATTGTGAAATCCAAGAACTCATTCTCAAACATTGGACTCAGTAATCTTAAGGGTCTTTCCCAGCCTAAATGATTCTATATATTTTACGTGTCTGTTACTCGGTAAAGAGCTTGTTGTGAGAGGTTGTATTTTAATAAGTGGACATTAAAGACATTTTTAACCAAACCCTTTCATACACAATATAAGTACATCAAAGGACCGGGTTGTGTTAAACCACGTCTTTGAATGCAAACCTTCCCATGGGCCACATATGAAAATGTTTATGTGGCCAGGATGCACAATACACCTCATGCTCTGGAAAGCTCCGGCAAGGACCTACAGGCAGTAATGACCCTCTGGGACATTTGCAGGGTGAGGCTGGGTGGCCATGTGACCAAGACGGAGGGTTACGACATTAACACACCCCCACTGCTCCACTGTGGCTCATTTTTCCCTCGGAACGGAGCGGGTCAGAAGAGCGGCCTACGGCTCCCACGGGCACAAGGATCCCTCAGAGGGCCGCGTCCCCCGGGCGAGCTGAGGGCGGCGGGAACCAAGCCGAGGCACGGAGTGCCGCTGAGGGCCGCCTGCCCCAGCGCACCGCTACAGGTGTGAGTGACGGCTCAGCGCACCAATCAGTGCTCACCTCCGCCTTCAGCCATGGTAAAGACAGCCAATCAGACCGCCATCTGCACTCCCTGTCCTGCCCCCTCCCTTTTACGGACACATGACGGACCAATAGAAAGGAGAGCACAGCGCCCGCCCCCATCGGCTCTCGCGAGCTTTCAGAGGCCGCCTCCCGCCCTCCGCCGGGTGACTGCGCAGCCGCCATGTTCGTTGCTATGCTGCCCGCGTGAGGCGGGCAGGAGGGCGGCGATGAGGGGAGGAGGCTGCAGGTCCTCCCCCCTCCTCTCCCACGGGCGCTCGCTCGCTCGCCGGCAGGGAAGGCGCCTCCGCAGCGCCCCGGCGCTCCACCTCCCCCCGGTCCCCTTTGCCTCCCGGCCGGGGCTGCGTGCGGGGCAGCCGCCGGTCCGTGCTAGGCAGTGCCGCTCTCCGTGTGGGACAGCCCCGGCCCCTGCGGCCCCTCCGGCCGGTCGCTGAGAGGAGAGGGGGGAAGGAGAGGCCGGAGGGTGGGGGTGTCCTCCGCCTTCCCCCCGGGGCTTCTCCGTCCTCTTCTCCCCCAGCTCTTTTCCCTCTCCTCCCCCCCGCTCCCTCGGCCCAGTCGCTGCAGTACGATGCGGCGCTCGCCGCTGCGGCGGGGCGCGGGGCGGCTGCTGTCGCTGCTTCCGAGGCTGCGGCTCCGGCGGGCGCTGCGGGAAGACTGAGGGGGGGGCGGCGAGCGGCGCCTCCGCTCCCGGTCTCGATCCCGATCCCGCGGGGGGGTGCGGGCGCTGCGCGTGCCCGAGCGTCTGCGGCGCGCGTGCCCGTGCGCGCGCCCGCGGAGGCGGGTTGGGGGTCGCGCGGGGCGGCAGCGGCGCGAGCGCGCAGCCCCCGCGCCTCTTGCCTCCGCGCTCCCCGCTCCATCTGGAACCAGGACGTGGATGTTACATGAAGGTAAAGGCGGCCGCCGGCGCGCTCGGGGCTCCGGGCTGGCGGGGCGAGGGGTGCTGCGAGCCGCGTCTGTGGGTGCTGTAACCCCCCGGTCCCCCTCCCGCAACTTCGCGCTCAGGTCGCCGCGGGCGGAGAGCGACTCTGCCCTGAGCCCTTTTGGGAGGTGGCGGGGGAGTTTGTGTGTGCGCTATCCCTCCCCTTCCCTCTCCGAAAAAGCAGGAGAGCCGGCTCCCCTCTGGCCAAGGGGGTGTGGGGCTGTGTGGGGGTGGGGGGCGTAAATAGCCTCGAGGGGAACGAGCTGCGGGGGCAGGTCGGGGTCTAAAATGCAGTGAACTCTGCCGAACGCCCGAAACGGATTTTTATTTTAGCGTGTTTAATAAAAAACTTTGCGATCCTGTGCTTTCTAGGCACATGTGCGCGTTGCCCTGGTTATGGGTAGGGAAAATAGGTTTGAGTGCTGTCGCTGCATTCCTCTGGTACATTTTTAGTGTCTCCCTCGAGCAGAAGGCTTGTATAATCGCTGTGTCTATATGCGACAGAGGCTTTTCGTGTACCTGGCGATGGGTTAACTCGTGCATGCTGTTGCAGCACCGGCTGGAAGAGCCATAACGTCTTTTTCCTTTAAAAATCTCCAAGAGCTAGTAGCTAAAACTAGATAGCTGCCAGTGTACGTGAGATGTTCCCGTCTCTGGTCTGTTCGAAGGATATACATCGTTCGGATGTAAAATACACGTGAACGAACTTTATGCTGTTATTTACACCCATCCAGGACTTCAGTGTGGCCAAGCTGTTACAATTTTTTAAACTGTGAGGTAGAAAATATTTGTGTGACTTGGTGTATTGCAGAAGTGCTAATGGATCTCAGCTGAAGAATAATTGTTAGACTGCAGTGTGCACATGCATTTGCTCACCCACGGGGCATTTCTCTTGCCCTGAGCTAAACTCAGAGTTCAGTGCTGAGGGGGTTTTGTGAGTGCACGTTTGCCTGCTTGTTTTGGCAAATTAATGCTCTTTAATGTTGGGAGGCACCGACGTGTTCACACGCATGCAGACATTGTGTGCTCGTCACATTGTAAATGTGCGTTGCAGGAATACAGGAAGGAGTTCCATTAGAATTGGTAAAACCATTTTTTGTTAGATATGTACATTGTAGGAAAGTTTTCCAGTTCATTGCTTGAACATAATATATTCAGTATTGTAATCTTATGGGTGCCATTTTCTTGACAATAGATTTCTTGCTTCACTGACCTAAAAAGTTGTTTTTACATATTGGCACGACTCTGGCTTGCACCATGTTGATAAAATATGATTCTGGGTGATAAGCTTACAAATATGTACATGTGTGTCAATATGTTTCCCAGGCAAGTTTATACTTTATGAACTCAGAAGTGTACTGTTGGTCCGATTTTTTTTTGCTATAATTTTGTTGTCATTACAGTTTCTTTGTATTTTTAGATGTGTGTGTTTTTAATTTTAGTTTTTCAGAGTCAGATTAAACATTGAAATACAAATGCATATTCTTCACAAGCAGAAATGTATTAAATAATTTTACCTTTCAGTATGTTTTCCTTACGTTTGCAGTTAAATTTGTTTGGAATCAGATTTACCTGTTTAGAGTTTACTTCGATGGTTACTTCGTGTTCAACAAAATTGTCCATGGAATGTGTTGTTTGTTGTCATGCTTTACAATTCTCATGTCCTGTTAATGCCTAATTTAGGTTGTACGTAGCAGTATTGATTGAACACCCTTGCTAAAAATACTTTCAGGGTTGGGTACACTTACACCATAGTAGTAGGAAAGTTCAGCCAATATCGTTTTTCTGTGACTAGAATTAATTAATTATTAGCAGCTATACTTTTAAAATGTGAATAAAAACCAAAATCCTATAATCTTAGAAGTAATGCTAATGGCTCTGTGGAGTGGATGAGCTCTCTGTTAATGAGCAGGGTTCATGTAGTACTATTTACATGTTACTGCCATTGCCATATTTGAAATGTATGGTAAGTTAATACTCAGGGTACATCATTTTGGCTCAGATCCTGCAGCGGCCCCTCTTTGGGCAGATGGATCCACCTGCACAGAAGTTGCTGCAGGAACTTGAGCTCCAGCATTGGTTCAGTAGACATCAGGCCTGTGTTTGTCCTGGGCATTTGCTGTGTGTGAATGTTTGGTTGTGTTTGTGTGATGTCACAGGGGCTTCTGGGCATGCAGAGCTCCAGGGCTGGCAGCCTCATACAATAGTGTGTGACTTGATTAGTGGGGATAAAGGGACTTCTAAAAGATTGCTTTCATATTGTAACAGCACTGCTGAAAGGTCCTGAGCAGCATCTGGGGGCTCCATTTCACTGGGTCATTATTTATGGTTGCTACTTCATAAGGATTTTGTTGAGTGTACATGGGAGTTCTGTGCATTGGTTTGTGTGCACATATAGAAGGTGGGATGCACACTGAGAGCTGAGGGGAGGTTACACTGGAGGGGAAGGTAGCCAGGATGGGTCAGCCATCAGCTCACCTGTGTGTGGGAAAAAGAGCAGCTTGCTTGGGGCAGTTTAGGCTTTGGATGTAGTCAGTGGGTTGGGTAAATGTCTTCTTAAAATTACAGTGGATTAATAGTCTGTTCTAACTTTTCAACTGGTCAAATCTTTAATTAAAACAAGCAGCAGACATGTGCATGGCTTTTTTTTGGTGTTGGAATCAATGTTAGACTATTTTCCCTAAACTGATAAATAGTGCATTCCTATGGTTTGTCTCCTTGGGTCTTCTTACTACCAGTAGTTTGATCCTCTGATTCATCATGATTGTGCCTTGCTCCTCCCCTCCCCCAGTTTGGGTTTAAATTTGGTGCAAGATCATATGAATCCCATGCCTTCACATCCTGTTTCTGTGTCACCTCACTTCCATTCTCACCAATTAAAAAATGGCCAAACAAGAGAATCTTTCAGCAGATGGTTGACTGTGCTTTTTTTTTTTTTTTTTGTTAAATACAACACTTTCACTCTGGTGCTGTCACTTTTCATTAAATGCCCAGACAAAATTCTCATGGGTATTAATGTCCTCCAACCTAAATAACTGTAAAAACGGTTCGTATATGTATATAATATGGAATTGTTCATGGGGGAAAGAAGGAACTGAAGGTGGAAGAGCAACGGGAGGGGAGAATGGCCTGAGCAGGAGACAAAACCCAAGGAGCTCAGCAGTGTGCTGGTAATACAACAGCAGGTCTTTACTGTCTGGACCAGCTGTTCATATATGCTTGTTTGGGAACAGAGGCTGTTTTTCCTTCAGGACTTGTAATCCACTGAAGTAGCACAAAAACAATTTTTTCTAGGCTTTTGAAAACCTTTAATTTCTAAAATTTTGGAGTACTTTTAAGTCTATATATATACACACACACATATATAATTATTACAGTGTTGTATATGCAGGTACATATTCAAATTCTCCATCTTTATTTAGATGGAGAAAACTAGAATTAGAAAACTATTGCTGTTTTCTATTTACAAAATAAATTACTTCAAGTTTATAGCAGTTAAAGGGTTCACAGAAGTTTTATTGATGTGCTGACATACCGGAATTCAGGGTCCAGATGTGTAGGTTAAAAGAATCTGGTTAACAGCACACTGAAGTCTGTGCTGGTTGTATGCAGTGTCCCAGTACATGCCACAGAATGTTACAGCTGGTGGTCACAGAGATTCCCAGTAGATCAGACAAACATAACTTGATGAATTTCTCTTTGAAATGTGAGAATTGAACCAGCTTCTCCTTTCTCAGCTTATGCACCTTCAAACAAAGACTTGGTAGGGTGATGCAATTAGGCCTCTCTTGGCACCCTACTTTGTCTCACACTGCAATTACTCTTGGACAAGTTTACTGTGACTATTGGATGATAAATGCAATTCCATTTGTGTGGTTTATGAGACACTGCCATCTCTACAGTTACATGAGGAAGCGGGAAATGGCTAATATCCATTTAAAAATAAACAGTCTTTTGATTATGAGT